GCCGCTGGAGATGTGAGCTGATGCTATTTTGACCTTGTGCTGACTAGTCCTATTTCAACTTGATTTAAGTTAAAGTCATCTGCAAGGAGGGGATCTCAATTGAGAAAATGCCTCCATAAGGTAGGGCTGTAGGCAAGCCTGAAGGACATTTCCTAATTAATGATTGACACAGGAGGTGGGGCCAACCCATTGTGGGTGGGGCCACTCCTGGGCTGGTTGTCCTGGGTTCTATAAGAACGCAGAAAAAAAAACCAGTAAGCAGCACTCACCCCTCCATGGCCTCTATATCAGCTCTTGCCCAGGTTCCTGCCCTGAATTCCCTCTGTGACTTAGTGTGACCTAAGAGCTGTAAGATTAAAATAAACCCTTTTGGTCATGGTGTGTATCACAGTAGAACCCCTAGTTAAGACAGATTCTAAAAGCATAAAAAAAATGGCAGAAGGGTCTAAGAAGCTGAGGAAAATACACGCAGCAAGCTGGGTGGCGCCCTTGAGCTATACCACGTTACTCACCTCTCTCCTCTATACTATAAATGATTTGTGGCTGATTCTTCTGCTTGTGGAGACCGTCTGCTTATGGAGGAATTTAGCAAATGCTACTTAACAAGCTTAATATATCCAATCAAAATATGTCACTCTGGGTTGCTATGCGGGGGTGAGGAAGCAGGCAAGGGGACAGGAGCGGTATAAAATGCTTTGTTTAACCGCACTGAAGCTCGGTTTGGGGGTCGATGTTGCCTAGGCCCGTTGTATTCAGGCACTAAAGCTGCCTCCTAGCTTTCAGCCCTGTGCCTGCCTCTTCCTTTGGTCATTTCCTGAAGCAGGAAGAGTCACACAAGAACACGAAAGCTGAAAGACTCTACAGATTGCATCATTTAAATGGAGGCCTGGGGAGTCAACCCGAACCTCGGGAAAGGAACACAGGGAAAAGGGGGTGAAAATCAATCTAATTGATAAATTGATTGAAAAATCAATCAATCAAGAGGGCCATCAGCATAGCTGAACACTAGGTCCCAAATAATTTTCCAAGGACTCAACTTTGTTCTGTGATGCATGGTCAAAATTCCCACCCACGAATCTCTACCGGTAGCTTTACAATAACCTCTGTGACCAATGGGGTTGATCCCCCCCCCCCCCCCCCCGCCCGCCCCACTTCGCCTGTACTAGAACTGGAAATGGCAAATGAAAGGAAGACAATACTAGGTCATTCCTTCCCATAACACATGAGCAGAGAGGCCCAGGAGGCAGAGCCTGGCCTACCTTTGTGGAACTAAAACCCTGGCTCAGTCCCGATGGTACCCTTCATGGTGTCTCCTCACCATTAGGGGTGACTCTGTGCCAAGCTTTAGTCTCCCCTGTGCCACAGACACATGTCCACCTGCCCACTTCAAAGTCACATCTTCCCCATCCAAAACTCACTCCTGATCATGCCTCAAGCATGACCCCCTCTTCAGAAAACACCAATAACCCTGTGGTTCTGTTGCGGAAATCAGTACCTAGAAGCCGTCCCTGTCTGTTCTCTCGTCTCCCACTCCAATATTTCTTACCCAGCATTCCCTTGGCCATCAGGTTCTGTTGGTTTTATGATCCCAGTGCAGCCTGACTACGTCCTGCCGTGTTCTGAGTTGCTAAGATGTCAGCTGGGATGACCCAATAATACCTTCTGTTTGGGGTCCTCTGCTGCTAATGGGTATATTTGTGTGTACGTGGAAGATATCTTAGCACATTAAAAAAATTATGTTGATTGTTTCTTACACTCACCAAGAAGAATTGGATCCGAATGGTTAAAGAGTACTGGGAATTAGGGCCCCTAAATGTCCCCTCGATGGTCTTGGCACTTAGCAGAACTGGCCCGCTACTTTGTCAGCACTAGCGCCATCCTGACTCTCTGCCTCACCTAGGGCCCTCCTGTTGATAGGGTCTAACTTCCAGGTAAAGCCATCTTTTGTCAGCTAAAGCATTCTGAATGAGTGGGAGAGGAATGTCTTCCAACAGCCAACAAGGCTGGGTCACCGTGGAGACTCCTCAAGGATGACACTCACCACTGCCTTATGCAACACAGACCCACGGCTGCCTGTTGGAAGGCATGCTGCAGCACCCAGTAGGCAGCCGCAGCCTCGCTTCAGACCAGGGATGTTTGAACAAAAAAAGAGCCATGGTCCTCCAAATGCTTTCAGAGAATAGCCAAAAGCTACATTCAAAGAACCCTGATGATAATGAATATGCTAATGTCGTTTCTACCAGGTCCCTACACACTTTCAAAGAAATGCTTCTGACCTTCCACATAGATTCAAAGCTTCCATTGAAGTCCAAGGGGGGTTGGGGCTTAAATGACATGAAAGTTTTTACATAAATGGATACAACTCGGGAGTTGTGAATTAAAAGCGAATTTCACCTTGTCCCCAAAAGCTCTGACCTTGAATGAGACACATTGGTCCTAATTGGTTGGCAGTGGACCTTCTGGCCAGACAGCTGTTACCTTTGGGTAGAATGAGCCGTGAAGCATTAACTGGAGTCCTTTCTGCATGACAAGTGAGCTCTGGAAACGTGGGTTCAAATGCCAACTCCGTCACACATTAGCTGGCCGAGCTGATGGAGCGCCACTTGCTTATGTGTGAAAGGCTTAGTAATTCCTTGGTGGCAATGTGTGGTCGAAAGGGGCTAGGCATCCACCCAATCACAGCGCATCCAAACTATGGAGACCCCCCACCCCACGCCTCAGTCTTCCGTGTTCCCACCTGTGCTTGTTTCTTCTAACACACACTGAGGAGGTACCCAGGATTCAGCTGTGAACAAACCAGACGAATGGGAGCTGCCTCGTCAGTGGGAGGAACTGGAGCTAAACCAGGAGCAATGAAGAATCTCTAAGAGGGGTACATTGCGGTGGAGAGGAGAGAGTAAAGCCTTAGCCTCGCGACCCGCACTCTAATCCCATCTCCAGGCTTCCTGGCTGCAGCTCTTAGGAGAGCCTTTTGATGACAGGATTCTCAAATGTTCAAAGAGACCCACACTGGCCATTCTCCCATTCACTGAACAAATATTTATGAAGTTGCAACCCATGTCTGAATGCACTGCTCTGAATGCTACAACGCTCACAATGAACAAAACAAGCAAAAAAAAATCCTTGCTCTTGGAAATTTAAATTCTAGAGAAGAGAAATAGACATTAAACAGTACGGTCTTCCCTTGGTAACCACGGGGGACTGGTTCTAGGAGTCTTAATATAGAAATCCTTCGGGGAGCGAGTCCCTTATGTCAAATGGCCCTGTGTGTGTATAACCTCCATGTGCTTTAAGTCATCTCTAGATTAATTACACGGATTAATGAAAAGACCTAATAACAATAAGTAATCACTACACTGTTTAGGGAATAATGACAAGAAAAACACAAGGCTTCTGGGAGGCCTGCCCCTTTCCAAATGGATATGAGGGAGGATTGGGGGGTGGGGAAGATGGGGAAACGGGGAGATGGGAGCAGGATCAGAATGTAAAATAAATGAAAAAAATGTTATTTAAATAAATACAAAACAAAAAAAGAAAAGAAAAAAACATAAGGCTTCACTTTGCTCTATTTTTTGCTGTTGTTATCTTGAGACAGGGTTTCTCTGTGTAACAGCCTGGCTGTCCTGGAACTCATTTTGTAGACCACACTGGTCTCAGAGTCACAGCGCTCTGCCTGCTTCTACCTCTGGAGTGCTGAAATTAAAGGTATGCACCACCACCTCCCGCTGCTTTGTGGTCTGGGGCCCGACTTCAGAAAGGATCAGAGACTCAAGACCACACACCTGAAGCAGCTAATGCTTGCCTGGCCCTGCGCAAGTGCTCAACAGAGGATAGCTTTTATTTATGACATTTTCCATTGTTATTAGTGCTCTTGTAGGCTCTGTGAATTGCCCACTTTTCTTCTTTCCTCTTTTCTGAGTGACAATAAGCAAGGCTAATCCCCAGATTCCGAGCTAGTAGGGCCCTCTGCCTCCAATCCCAGACAAAGCCAATAGGAATGGCTGATGTGTGTGGTGGTGCAGTCACAGAAAGGGCATGTAACGAGAGAGTGTCGTTGGAGAATGATCAATGTCTTGCATTCCATCCCTCTCTATGACCTTACAAATTAGATGCCTTGGAAAAGCTGTACCTTCATCCTGGGTGGAAGATAACAGCTGTTAAACAGATGGGTCTTTTTAAAGAGCTGGTACCTAATAAAATTACTTGATTCTGGTTTGGGCAGGCGGAGCTGAATGGAAGGGGGCAGGCCAAAACCTGGCATACACGCTTCCAAATTGAACCAACCTCCTCTCCCCCAGGATTCGTCCACCTACACGTTGAGTCAACCAACCTGGCCCCTAACAATGCTTTCTCAAGCTACCTCCTTTTCTTTATTCACCCCTCCCCGCGTCCTTCCACAACCCTGCTCAGACAGCAGCAGCTTCTCCCTGAGGCCTTTTCCAGCCTCCTAGAAACACAGGATTACCTCCCATAAGATCTTGCTTTACAAAGTACTTTACACATTACTTGGCTGGAGCATCCGGTTCGTTCCAGTTTTATGAAGCCTACTGTTTCGTGAGATCCTTGTAACTGGAAATTGTTTAATGTTTTTATTAGCTCTTTAAGAATCTCATACAATGTGTTTTGATCACAGTCCTCCCTCTCTCCCAACTTCTCCCAGATTCTCCCCAACATCCCTACCTATCCAACTCTATGTTCACTATGCCAACCCCCATCAAGTCCAGTTTGTGTTGACCTGGGAGTGAGGTTTGTCCCACAGTACGGCATTAAAAAAAAACTGACTTTCCCTCTCCCAGAAGCAATCAAATGCAAGTAGTTCCTCAACTAGGGGTGTGCCCACCTACCCTCCTCCATGCTGGCGTATGGTCTGGCTTGGGCCTCTAGAGAGCACATGCTTGCTGTCTATCCTGTCTTAGTTAGGGTTTCCATTGCTGTGAAGAGACACCATGACCAGGGCAACTCTTACAAAGGAAACCATTCAATTGTGGTGGCTTGCTTACACTTCAGAAGTTCAGTCCATTATCATCACGGTGGAGAGCATGGTAGAAAGCAGGCAGACATGGTATGGTTCTGGCTACATCTTGATTGGAAGGCAACAGGAAGTAGGCGGTAACACTGAGAGTAGCTTGTGTAAATGGAGACTGTACGTTCATTTCCTGGGCACTCAGACCTGAATAATCACACAAAACTATATTAATTACAACACTGTTTGGTCAATGTCTCAGGCTTATTCCTAACTAGCTCTTATATCTTAAATTAAATCATTTATATTAATCTGTGTATTGCCATGAGGCTGTGGTTTCCTGGCTAAGTTCTGGCATCTTTCTCCTTAGGCAGCTACATGGTGTCTGCATGACTCTGCCTTCTTTCTTCCTGCATTGTTTAGTTTCCCTACCTACCTATATTCTGCCCTGCCGTAGGTCAAAGCAGCTTCTTTCTTAACCAATGGCAATAAAAGATATTCATAGCATACAGAGGGGAATCCTACATCAAGCTTTGAGCATAGGAGACCTCAAGGCCCACTCCCACTGTGACACACTTCCTCCAACAAAGCCATACCTACTCCAACAAAGCCACACCCCCTAATCATGCTACTCCTTTTGGGGGGCCATTTTCTTTCAAACCACCACACTCTCACAATTCTAAGTGTTTGATCAAGCTTATTAGAATTTTGACTGATGAGACTTTGCCCAACCCCAGAAGCAGCAACCTCAGGTGCCAGGCACAGTGCTGCCACCAGAGGGTCTCATTCGTCTTTATATTTGCAGCTACTTCAGGAATGGGCATGTATGAAATTGCTGCAACTAAACTTTCAGAGCAACATTAGACCTTTTGTTTACTGCGGGAGGGCTCTGAGACCTCCACAGCCAGACGATTTGTGAGAGGCAAGAAAGCAGTTGGTTTCAACACAACCTTGGGAGTCTGACCCCAAGTGTTTATTTTAGGCATATTTAAGCACAGCACAATTTGGGTGGAAACTTTCCTGCTTACAATTAACTTAATCCCACATGCATAACAAAGCAGACGGAAGGCTCTTCGAGGAGCAAAGTAAGCAAAACAAGGATTGGGCAGGACTACATTGAAACTCTTTGTAAAGTACATGTGATGTCGTCCATAAAGATAGGTTCTGTAGTTTGAATGGGACAAATAAGTCTATGAGAAGGGTCTGGGGAATGTGGTCACCCTCCACACCAGGCTGGAAAGCACATCTTTTCCCAGCCTTCTGGGTGGATAACAGGTGTAGCATTACTTCCCTTGAAGACATGACCCCGAATGCCGACATTCCAGGTTCCTCTAGGGCTTATCTATGAGCACAAGGACTTCCGTGCTTCCTGCATCTCCCACTTTTTATTTTCAAGGGAAAAAGTTGTGGGCACAGTCGAAGCCAAGGTGTTCTCCATTACCTGCATGGCTCCTCTAGCTATTACAAGCAAGCAAAGCAGAACTGTAAGAACAGCTAGCAGAGGAGCGAGGAAAGGAAAAAGTCATCTTAACCATGATGGCCATTCAGAGGTCCTTTGAGAGACTTTGTTTATCTCTTTTTGCAGATCATTAATTTGATCATCAATACTATGAGAAAAATCTGAAAATCTGTCAGATTAAAGCAACACATGCCAGGAAATTGTTGACAATCAAGATTGTGCTTGAGCAACAGATAATCTATAATAGTAGCTCTTGTAATGAGTCGTTTTCTGTCCCTCCAGCCAGCTCCCAAATAATGACACAGAGACTTATTAATTATGAAAGCTTGACCTATAGCTTAGCCTTGTTCTTAAATTGTTCTTATAATTTAAATTAACCCATTTATATTCATCTACATTCTATCACATGCCATTACCTCTCTTCCATCGCGCACCTCCTGTTTCCCCTCCATGTTTTCTGGCTTCTCCGCACACCTAGATTTCTCCTGCTCTTCCTTTCGCTCCCTGGAACTCCTTCCTATACCTCCTGCCTAGCTATTGGCCATTCAGCTTTTCATTACATCAGTCACAGCAATAAATCTCCACAGTGTACAAATAGCCCACAGCAAGCTCTGGTCTGTAAAACTGTGGTTCTCAACTCACCCATTTCTTGGTTGATTTCTGCTAACATGTTTGCTGTAGTGTTACTAATCATGCAGGCCAATTTTGAAACCGCTTTTGCATTCTAGTAATCATGTCTGGTACTGGTAATTTTAAAAAAAGCGTAAAAATAGTCCTCAACATGGCAAAACAGCATTGTACTGTCTTCTATAAGGACATACTGGCATTTGGAGTCTATAGTGACAAGCTGAGAATTAACATGTAATATAGTTAGTAAATATAACAGCATCATTTTGGAGTCAATAGTATTGTGTCCTGTTGTCTTTCCAAGGTCTTGGCTTGATGAGTTGAAGTCTTAATGTGTCCCTAAATCAGTGCTGTCCTGGTCAGATGTACTGTAGCTAGAGCCATCTGGGACCTCATCTTGGGAAAGACTTAAGCATAACCTCACGCTGATATTAGAATAACTAAGTCATTTCCACGGATTAGTTTCTAGATATTTTCATTTAACAAATAATTTAGGTTGTATCTCCTTTAGGGCTAAATGTTTTGGGCAGCCAAAGAAGCAATATTCTTTAAAGTGCAAAACGTTAAAGTAAACCTGGCTAAATGTAGCGTGGTGTGTAGGGATTTAAGTGGGTGTATAAACCACCTTTTAAAAAATTTGCCATTTAAGTATTAGATGCTGTCATTCCACAATAGCTTGACCCTGTGTGTTGCAAGGGATTTCACTAACATGATTAATATTCTATATACTGCAAAATTCCTTAAAGCACTTGCTAGTGTAAGCAGAACCATTATCGGTTTTTAGTTGTAATGGAAATCCTGGGGAAAAAAAAAACAGTGTATAATAAATGATTGACGACATCCAAGATGGTCTCACCCTGTGAACAGAAGTAACAATCATATTAGAAAAAGTATCAACTGTTCCATGAGCATATTTTAAATTTCAAATTTCCGAGGTATCTGTTTGCCAAATGGCACTGGGTTTTAATCCTTGAGGATCAATTACGCCAGCAGAGGGCAGTGAGGTGAAAGAAGAAAAAGATCAGGCGTGAATGATGTGTTGTGCTTGTTCATGGGGTAAAGAGAATTGTACTTGTAACGTTTTTCATTTTGATGAAGAAGTTCTTGAGATTTTTGAGTGGCCTTTAAGGAAAGTACTAGGGGCAAGGAGGCAGCCAGCGCCTCATCTTAAGCACTAGCGGATGCTAACGGACCTGGCAAATTAGAATGAGCAGGAATATGAATTATGAAAAAGGTTGAGTTCATTATCATATGGATATCTGAAGGGAGAGAAATAATTATGAAATAACATCAGTAGTGGGCTTGGGTTTAAGTCTTGAAGCTTCTAATAGAGAAATGGTTTGAGCACAATCCACAGAGTCAGTTGCAATATTCAATGCCTGAGAAACATCTAATAAAAGCTGATTGATTTCTGTGAGGGAAGGCAACCGAGGTGGGTACAATTTATTTTGTGGAGGATGTGGAATCTGTATATAAAACATAAACTCCTTGTCCTCTTGAAGAACCATCTGTAATAGCATTAAACGGGATCTCTGTAGGATTCATTAGTTGTAATTGTAGGTAATACTCATGGGGTATCTTCAAAAAAATCCTAAAAGGGGGATCGTTGGGTTAATGATTATCTATACATCCCGAGGAACATGATGATATTACCTGCCAATTATTATCAGTGTGAAACAAATAATCAACCTGCATTTTATTTAATGGTATAGTGATTTCTGTAGGTTCTTTACCACTAACTTGTTTAAGAAGTCTCCTTTCCACCATTATCCAGTGTGTAATTTCTTGTAAACAAGGAGTTGCAGATAATTATGACTTGCATAAATTTCTATAATTCCATTACCTTGTTGGTCTATAATCCCAGTAGGTGATGAGGAGGAAGGATAGATAAGTCATAGATAAGGAAGTAAGGGATTAATTCTTAGAGACCACTTTTATCAGCAATATTATTTAATAAACCAATAACTCCTTCTGCTTTTGAGTTTTATGTTTCTGATCAAGTATAACTGGCAATCTCTGGAAAGTAACATAAAGAACACAGCCAGATCTTTAGTAGTGATAGTGATAAGGACGTACCAAACTGATAATGGCCCAAACGTTTTTGTAAGTAACTAAAGGAAAATTGTTTGGGAAGTTCTAAGTAGAGGATGATGGAGGACTTGTTGTGTAATAACATCCTAAATAATCGTAAAGTGATTGCTTTTAATTTTATCTGGAACTAGGTTTAAATTTGTTCTCTTTGCATTTACTGTGGAAGCGAAGCACTCATTTAAGGATCGATTAGATGAGCCAGAGAGCAAAGTGTCGTCCATTTAATGAATGAACAGTGACTTGGGAAATCCCTTTTGATAAAACTTTCCACTGATATCAGGTCATTCGTTGGCTGTTGGTTGTTTAAAGCAGGAAGAGAGAATGCAAAGCATTCCTTATTATGATGTAAAGGAACAGAGAAAAGGCCATCTTTTAAGGCAAGTGTAACACTGAATGTCTTGAGGAATCATAACAGGAGCCAGGGGCCCTTGCTGGAGGGACCCACTGTTTTCACAGTAGCATTTACGCCCCTGATATCATGTAACAGTGAAAAATTATTCTTCTCCTTTTATGAATTACAAAAATAGGGGAATTCCAGGGACTGACTAAAGGTTCTATGAACTAGCTGTAATTGTTCCTGCACTGGAAGTTGGGCCTTTTTTAATTTTTCCCCATGAAGGGGCCATTGATCAGTCCACACTGGGTCATCAGAGACCCATTGTATTTTTAAAGGCTGTATGGCTGGCTCTTGATCAATGACCCCAATTAGGGGGTATACTTCCTTGTATTATAATTATCAGGTGATTTGTTGTAGCAATGGTAAGCACTGCTTGCATTTGTTACAATATATCTGTTCCCCACAGATTATATGAGCGTCCTGGGACAATGTCAGGCTGCACAGTGCCAGAGGAAGACTCTTCGTCAGTCTGATTTAAGACAGTACTTTTTAAAGAGTCCCATTGGCGGCCAACACCTTGTAAAGGTGGGCCTCTAGACACTGGCAATGTGGGGGCTCTGCTCTTGATAATAATGGAATGACCTGCGCCAGTATCTAGAATACTTTTAATGGAATCGTTTTCCATATGTAAGGCCAACATATGATGTCTATCCTCAGATAACTGTATTGTCCTTAAGGCAAAGGAAATTAATCCCATTGCACTGTCTCTGAATGACTGGATACTGCTTTAGAGTCTGGTTCATCTTTGATTGTCTGGGTCAATTTTACCCTTGATTCTTGGGCTGGGGATTGCCCCCTTGGGAGTTTAAAGGCTTACCATCCTTGTCAAATTTGAATTGACATTCCTTAGCCCAATGTTTTCCTCTTTGACATTATGGGCACAGACAAGGGGCTGGATTACTAGATTTTTTTTTTTTTGGGCACTAATTTTTTCCAGTGTCCTTTATTTCCTCATTCAAAGCAAGGTCCCCTTCGAGCAGTTTTGTGAATCGCTGCAGCAGTGACTGATGCAGCGTGAGACGGCTGCCAACATCCTGCGTGACGGTCACCCACTTAGAAGAGTCACCGTGTCTTACTGGTGCTGTAGCAGCTCTGCACCCTCTGCTGGCTCTAGCAAACCTGAGCTGCCTGGTCAGGATATCTGCAGCTTCCCCACGAGTTACTTCCTCTTCCACAGCCTCTTAACTTGAACAGGAAACTCAGACCAAGGCTCACTGACCTTCTGTTTTAGTGGCCAGCGAGTCCGCAGTTTCTCCACGATCAGGACCAATTCTCTGGGCTTGCAGCGCACAAAGGTGTGCTGGGTCAAAACACGGGGCCAAGACATTCGTCTGTAGTAGAGCATCGCTATATCGTCCCCCTCCTCAAAGCATGTAGAATTGATAAGGACGTCATTGCCATGGTTACCTTCTGCCTGTTCATCACATTCATCATACTATCTTGCTTTCCATATCAAGTATTGTCCTGGGCGGAAGCTTCACATACTTGCTTATTGTCCCAAGGAGTAACAATATCCCTGCTTAAATTTTCCCCTAACGTATCAGTAAATAGAGCAGGCACGCCATTGGCGGCATCAGATTTTCTGAAGTTCTTTGAGAACTCAAAAGTAAATTGGTACTGTTGACACATATTTGGGTCCTGAGGATTTAAAATCATAGGCATCGTAAGAACTGGCATGGTGAGAGGTTCGGTCCAATCATTTCCTGTTGATTATGTTCCTTATCTTGTATAAGTAGTCTCTGGAAGTGAGGCGGCATGGACTGTATTTCTGAATCAGATTGATGAGAATGAATATTTGGTGTACATGATTATAAAATTGAGGTGTTTGAAAGGGGAGGCGGTGCATGTATCTAAATCAGTCTCATTAAATGTAGGCACAGTACCCCCTGCTGAGATGTGTCCAGAGGATCTTCCTCTTTATGATCGTCTTGGAAGGGATCCAGGCAGTACATCACTGCAGTCTAGACCGCAAAATAATATGACAGGAATTTTGTTCCCCTTTTCGTGGGTTCTTTTCACATTAGCTCCTATGCCTTTCCAGCTGGCAACATCCGTGGTTCCTTGTTCAGGAAACCAAGAATTTTACAGTCACTTGTGTAAGTCTTTGAATATTTTGCTAAAAGACATCTCAATAATTGTACAAAATGCTTTGCTCAGAGGACTGAGACGAACCCGTATTATTTCATTCTCTCTTACAGCTGAAACTCCTTGGATAAGACGACTGAACTCCTACCCTCTGCGTCTATTTAGAGAAAATTTTTCTTACCTTCTCCAAGTTGTGGGGGTCTCTGCAACCTTTGCATCCAGCGGTGATCCGTGGGAGGCAGAAAGTCAGTCCTATTCAACATGAATAAGAAGCCAGAGTTGGTCCAAACCTTGGGAATCTGACCCCAAGTGGTTTATTTTAAGCCATATTTAAACACAGCACAATTTGATAAAATTTTCTTGGTGATAATTAACTCAATACAGTGTTCACACAAAATATATATATAAATCTTCTTGAGAAATAAAGTTAAATAAAGAACAGATGTGACTACATTAAACTCTTTGGAAAGCCCATGTGACACCTTCCATAAAGAGGGATTCTATAGATTGAAAAAAACAAGCAAACAACAATACTAACATTTATGATGAGGGTCTGGGAGTGGGTGTGGCCTCCAGCCCCACAGACAGCACAAAGGACAGTGGGTCAGAATGTGCAATCGCCCCCAGCCTTCTGGGTGAGTAGCAGGTGTAGCCTTCCTTCCCTTGAAGGAACAACACGGATGAGAAATGACTCTCTGTATGCTGTGAATATGTCTTTTAAAATTCATTTTCTAATTTCATTTTACATTCCATCCACAGTTCTCCTCCTAACCTCCCTGCCTACCCCCAGCCCACTTTCCATTCAGTCCTCCCAGTGGGTAAGGGTTCCCAAGAGTAGTCAACAAAGTCTGGCATATTAAGTTGGGGCAGAACCAGCTCCCCCCACAATAAGGCTGAGCATGGTATCCCACCACAGGGAATGGGCTCCAATAAGCTAGCTCATGCACCAGGGATAGATCCTGGTCCTACTGCCAGGTGCCTCACAGATAGTCCAAGCTTCACCACTGTCTCCCACATGTGGAGACCTAGTTCAGTCCCATGGAAGCTCCACAGCTGTTGGTCCGGAGTTCCTGAGTTTCCATGAACTTGGTTCAGCTCTCTCTGTAGATTCCTTCATCATGATCTTGATCTACCATTGGTTAATAAAGAAACTGATTTGACCAATAGCCATACATAGTAGAGTCAGGTAGGATACAGGAAGAAAAGGGGTGGAGTCAGAGAAATGCCTGCAACCGCCAGAGAAGCAAGATTTGAGGTAGCAAGTCACAAGCCTCGTGGTAAAATATAGAATAATAGAAATGGGTTAATTTAAGTTGTAAGAGCTAGTTAATAATAAGCCTGAGATAACAGGCCAACAGTTTGTAATTAATATTAAGTCTCAGAGTGGTTATTTGGAAACTGGTGGGCAGAGGAGAAACCACCAGTTACACAGCCCTGTGTGCCAACATTCCAGGCTCCCCGAGTGCTTATCTGTAGACACAAGGACCCCTGTGCTGCCTCTAGTTGACTATGACACTTAGAATCGGAATAGATGTTTTTGACTGTTTTTTTTTCTTAATCTATTTTTTAAAATAGGAAATAAAAATGTATTTTTAAAACCTATTCCTTAGGAGTAAGGGGGAAAGGGTAGACAATGTTTCCTGGTATATTTAAGCATCAGTGTTCCAGGGAATCTTAGAATCTCAGGGTTACAAAGAACAGTGGAATCATAGTCTTACAACATGGGAGCAGTGGAAATCTATGTGCTACAGAACCCTAGATCCTTAGGTGTGGTGGTTTGGATGAGAGTGGTCCCCGTGGTCTCCATCTCCATATATTCACCAACTTGGTCCTCGGTTGGTGAAACTGCTTGGGAAGGATTAGAAGATATAGTTGTTGGAAGAGGTTTGTCATTGGGGGTAGAAATTGAAGTTTCAAAATCCCAAAGCCTTTCCAGTTTCTCTCCCCCACTTCCCTCCCTCCCCCCTTCCCTCCCTCTCTCTACCTTTTGCCTGCAGATCAGATGTGAACTTTTAGCTTCTGCTCCAGTGCTATGCTCCCACCATGGTGGTCATCAACTCCAGTCCTCTGGAGCTCTGAACTCCCAATTAAATGCCTTATTGTATAAATTGATTTGGTCATGGTGCTTTGTAACAACAGTAGAAGAGTAACTAATCTTTCCTAGACCTCTAGGATCTTTCTTAAAAGACTGAAGTCTTGCAGTCAGATCAAGTTAGACCAAATATCTAGAGGGCTCTCGGGAGACCTTCATTGTGTTGGCTTCTGCTTTTCTATGTTCCGGCCTTCGAGGGCTTTTCCTGACTTCTTATCCTCCATGTGCCCTGGCCGCTGACACTTTCTTTTGCTTGATGCCTGTTCATTTGTTAGAACTGCTCATTACCTAGCATGTGATGTTATTTTTCCCCCTTGTTTGTTTGCTGTCCATCTCCCATATACATTATATTAAAGTCAAGAACATTCTTACAACAGTCCTGGCATATTACAAGAGCTAAAAACAGTCATCCGTTCATTCCACAAATATTTATTGCATAGTCACTTCCTGTTGGTCTCTTGGAGATGATCTTGTCTCAGGATGGGAGAAAGGTCTCAGTTTGAAGGCCAACCACAGTTGGTGGTAGATAAGTGGAGCACCGTGTTGAGAAGCATTCTCAGAGATCTGAGAATCCAAAGTGCTCGCGGGAATGTGATTAACAATGTCAGGCATGAAGCAATAAAAGAGGGAAGAAGCCACGACTCCTGGGGCTCCTTGAGCTCCAGAAAGAGGTGGGGAACCTGGAGTTCAGACAGCATAGGGAACCCCATCATTCTCTCTGTGTCTTTTGTGAATGGAAGGGCCATTAATAGGAAACCAGAAAATGGAGCCTAGTCCCAATTAAGGAATCTTCATGAACATGTTCCAGGAATCCCTAACTGCCAGTCTTGAAGCGTTGCATATCACAGAGCCAAGTGCTCTATGACCCAAACCTTTGCCATCAGCCAGGGCTGTCCATATTTGCATGACCACGATTTGCATAGACCTTATTTGCATGCCAGAGATTGCAAAACTGGAAATTATGTGCGTGGCAACTCATGTTAATCTCCTAGACTGTACACCGGCTAATCTGAGCTGTATGCCCCCTTTCATGTCGTGAATGACATGCTAGGCAATTGTGCACAAGACACTCATCCTAACCGAAAGTGCTTCTCTAACATGGACACACTGCCCCCCAACATTGTGTGATAGGCAGAACTCTAATTGTACCTCAGACTGCTGCCCTCTGGCAGTATACTCAAAAAACTATTTTCCCTATTTTATTGTAGATGGTAAAAATCATTCGCCACCTGTGTCTGTCAAACCCTTGCTGATCATAGGTTGTGTACACCTGTTCACTACCCTGTCGATCTCACCATGTTAGACCCTGAGCTAGAGGGCACCTCTCTACCTCCTCCCCCGCCCCCATTAGTCTCCAGGTTCTTCCTCTTTCCTGGGCCTTTGAAGGGGTTAAAAAGATGCAGAAGTCCCTGGCCCTGAACCAAGCCTGGAACCCAATTCTGTCTGAACTCACAAACCAGTTATTTTTAAAAAATCCAAAGAGAAAAGGAAGAAAGAAAAAAAAAAAAAGAAAGAAAAAAAACCCTGACTGTTCCAGTCACTGTACCAGCCAGCTGAGAGAATAGAGATTTGAAAGGAACAAAGGGTTTCCTCAAACATGCAGATCAAGGGCTTGGCTTAGGTGGTAACCAGTAACCTACCACCGTGTGCTTTCTGACAGAACCTTCAGAATGGCGGCCTCTGTTCCTGCCCCAGTCCTGGCAGGGGGATGGGGAACCCAGGGACACTCTCCTCCCATGCCCTGAGGTCAGCAGCTTATAATCAGACTCTGAGCACTGCAAAGTTCCTGTCGCCGTGGCACATGCAACTCCAAACCGACCTTAAGGACATTGTCGTCCGCCTATGAAGCGTGAGCGCCGGCTCCCCGGGTTTTTCCTGTTGCCGTCCTTCCCTTTCACCCCTGGCATTGAATTTCATCTTAGGACAGCCTTCAGAGCCTGGGAACAGGTGGCTTAGAAGGAGCAAACAGGGAGAAGGAATCTACCTGATATTCTTGGACACAGGACCAATCTAGAGTCTGGGGCTCTATAAGGGTGTCTCAAACCAAGTACAGGATCCTTTGTTTAAAAGTAGAGCTATGACCCTGAGCCATGGAGACTTCTGGGCCCGGGCTGCAGCTGAGGGCCGTGTCGGGGTTCATGGTCCTATCATAGCCCAGGACTGAGTTGATGTCCAGGGTTCTTGTTTTCATGGTAGACAGTGCAGAAACTGGGTCTGGACCGAAACCTGAGGCCATGTTGTTTTCCGAAGGTCAGGAGGCCACCGTAACTGTGCAGACCTGAGTACTCTGCGTAGCAACCCAAGGCCTTGGTAACACCCAGGCTGAGCTGTAGCCTGGAGCCATGTCTGGGTGTGTGACCCTGCTGCAGCCAAGGTCTGTGTTGCTGTCCATGGCTCCTGGTACTACCAAAGGCCAGGCACATACCAGAGATCCGGGCTGCCACCTGGAGTCACGCTATTTTACAACGGTCACCTTGCAGCTAGAGCAATGCAGATCTGAGTGGCCTGTGCAACCTCCTGGGGCCATAGTGACATCCAGGCTAGGGATGTCACCCATGACCATGTGTAGGTCCAGGGTTCTAGGGCAGCCTGGCCCTATGGTGATGTTCATGATCCACATTGCCACTAACACCCCCCTCTGCCTCTAGACCACCACCTGTAGCCATTTTGGGGTCTGAAGGAGATGTTGCTGCTGGATCATGCCAACCTCAGTGGTTTGGGCTGCTACCTACGGCCATGGTGTTGTCAGGGTCTGAATTGCTGCCTAGGTCCATGTCTATATCTGTGGCCCCACTAGAGCCAGGGTCTGCATCGATGTCCAAGGCTCTGGTTACCACCGAAGGCAGTGCAGATGCCCAGGCTGACACCTGAGGCCATCTTGGTGTCCTCAACCAGCGTGGCCAGCACTGCCACCCAGGGCCATATTGATACCCGTACCTGAGCTGAGGCTTGGGGCCATTTCCGAGTCAGTGGCCCTGCCACAGCCAGAGTCTGGGTTGAGGTCTCTGGCTCCCATTGCCATTGGGCCAAATGGCGGCCGGAGATCTGAATCGCCACCTGGGGCTGGGGTGGCGACCAGGGACCACACTGCTGCTGGCCACATCTGGATCTGAAAGGCCTGCGCTGCTACCTGGGGCCATGGTGAAATCCAGCTCCAAACTACTGCCAGTGACCACTTCTGGCTCTGTGGTCCTGCCATAGTTGGGGTATGTGTAGACGTCTGTTGCCCATGTTACCACAGGGGGGCATGTAAAACATGTGTCAAAGTGCGAGGGCTCTGCTGAGCTGGCCCCACCCCTCACTGGCCCAGAGTGACCTGCTCCACACACACAGAGGAGAGCCTGCCCTGAAACTCCCCAGACCTAGGATAATGGACCCTGAAGATTCCTGCTGCTAATAAGAGAACTGGCTTTCCACATTTGCTCGTCCCCACTCCTCACCTTGGGCCTGGGAGAGCCCGTTCCACCCCTCACCTGAGAGGAGTGGTCCTAGCAGCTTGAACTGACCACTTCAGCTACCACCCAGGCACACATCTGTAACAGGGGAGTGCTTGTTCGCTTCCTGACCACTAAGACCGGAATAATCACACAGAAACTGTCTTAATTACAACACTGCTTGGCCAATAGCTTAGGCATATTTCTAGCTAATTCTTACATCTTAAATTAACCCATTTCTATTAATCTGTGTATCACCATGTGGCTGTGGCCTACTGGTAAGGTTCCAGGGTGGCTGCCTCCTGCCACCCAGGGCGACGGCAGGATATTGGAGATGAAAGTCGGTGGGGGTCCAGTATTGATGATGTACCAAAGTCAGAGACCTTGAACCTGACCTGACCATTTGCATGTAAAGCTGTTCGGACAAAAGGGTCTACTGCATGACACACAGCAGCTGCCAGTGCTGCTAAGATGAATGACAGGGGCCTGGGGTGGGGGAGGGGGGAAGGCGGAGGCGAGAAGTATTTTTCTTTCTTTTTTCTTTTTGTTTATTTTTATTCTTTTTTAGCCTTTTTGGTGGGGGGGGGCACTACCAGAGTGACTTGTGGACATGGAGGAACTAGGAGATGAGTGGGACTGGGGTGCGTTGTGTGATATTTCCCCCCAAAAAATCAATAAAAATGGAAAAGGAAAGAGCAGAGCTATCGCAATAATCATAATATCGTTAGGAATGTCAATAAGGAGCACTTACAATGAACAGGAACCCCGCGGAGCACTTTGTGTGGCTCATCCTTACCAGGGTTTCAGGACTATTGTCACCTCTGTGGGACAGATGAGAAAACAGGTTCAGAGAAGAGCAATGGCCTACAGGACCTCACAGTGTGAGCCAGTGGGGTCAGGACCCTGGCCGGATAAGCTTGACTCTGGAATTCTCTGCCTATCCTCAGACACACTAAAAATGCTGACACTTCAGCATGAGAGGGAACTGACTCACCGCAGGATGGAGGAACAAGTACGTGCTCACATTCCTCCCTTGGGCCCCAGCTTTCTCGTTTTTTTTCTCAAGGGTTTCCGTTTGAAAAGTATAGACCTCAAAGATACTGTCTCAGCCAGGCCCAGAGAAACAACATATCTCCTTTCCTAAGAGGGACAGAGCGTGAAGCCAGAGCATTTCCCTTCCTCCCTGCCAGACTCGGTTTCCTCAGCCAGGCCTTCCTTGGCTCTCTTCCGGAAAGTCGTCAGCGATCTGCCAATCTGTTGCTATTAAACGCTCAGCCTCTTAATTGTTGCCAAACGCTGCCCCTGATTCCCACACTCTGGCTCTATCGCTTGCCCAGGTATCTACGTAGTCTGTTCCTTGGTCTATTTGCTTCAGCTCTAGGCTTCATCAGAACAGCAACCTTGTCCCTTTTGAACAAAGCGACAAAGTCTCCTTATACCCTTCATGAGTTCCTACCCTCAACGAACAGGGGCTAAACTGCTGGTCTTGGCGCTGCTCCATCTTCTCCGCCTCCCTTAACAACAGGACTCAAGACAAACCAGATTTTCTACTCCAAGCTCTTGTTCTTCTCCCGGCTTCTCTTCCTTCTTTTCTCTGCAGCTCAAAAGCCACTCCTACCCCCCCCACCGTGGTCTTTTTGTATCTCATCTCTAACCCCTCCCTCCACGAACACCACGCCAGTATGTTGTCCACATCAATGCGTTTCTAGAGTGTTGCCTCTGCCAGCTTGCTTTTGCAAACTAGAAAACTCCAATTATCATTCCTCCATAGAAACATCAAACTAACACACTCAGGAGCAGGATGAATAGATGCAAAAGCTCTGGATAACAACTAAAGTTTATAACAACCAAGTATACATCCAGTTAAGGAACAGCGGCTTTCGAAACAGTGGGAGTTCTCTGGCCTCTGTTGGGCTCAGCTCCAATGTTTCCCTAGTGCAGCTGCTGTACTGGACTAGACGAGGTAGCTGTCCTGCTCCTGGTTTTCTTCCTGCAGACCTTACTCACAACACGCCAGCATGTTGCGATGCCACTTGCATGCTACTCTCTGTTTATTTTGACTCTGATCTCTCTCAAGCAGAGACTACCCACGGGCTCTGTTAAAGAAACAGGAGCAGGACACCCAATAGACCACAGATGCTGTGGCCAGACTGTGGAAGGCATACATAATAAGCCATCTGTGACCCTGGGCAGAAGCCGGGGACTTCAGGGCTACTCGGCACCATGGCATGTGTAGTATGAAATGCACATGTATGTTCAGAACCAAAGCTTCCATGAAGTTCCACGCAACATGGGCGAAACACTACCTGAAACTTCAGATTCGTTCCAGTTTGGTTTTGATGCATGGCTCGTTGTTACGCATTCGGCAACCTTTTGCTGTTGCCAGATTTTCCCGCCTCCCACATTCAGCTGTGCGATCTTACATGGGGTGACGCTTACAGTTTAAGAAGTCGGGTATGTGTAATCCCTGTGAAAGTCAGGAAGAAATAGCTGCAGTCTGACAGGTCATAGAACTACAGCATGGGTAGAACATACTTTAAATGTTCATCAACAGGTGAGATCAGGTATATTCAGTGTGGGGTGGCTCACCAACATGGCTACCTAAATAAGACCTGGGCAAGGATGTCACCAACAGATATGCTAACGTGGAAGACAGAGTGATCACAAAACCTCAGCCTTAGACAAAGAACTGCCTGCAACTAAGGAATGTTGAGAGTAGGAGTAGAGTCTTCCTCAGGGAGGATACAGCATTATTTATCCAAGACCAATGGTCAGCCTGAAAACGTGTGTGTGTGTGTGTGTGTGTGTATACGTATATATGTACACACATATATATGTGCATATATATAATTATACAGGCTGATCAGATTGCATTTATATATTAAGATATGTATTGTGTGCTTATGCATATATGTAACAGTAATTAAAGAAAAAAGGGCAAGAATTGAAAGAGAGCACGGGGGTTAGAGAGAAGGGGTTTAGAGGGAATAAAGGGAAGGAAAAATGATGTAATTATACTATAATCTTAAAAAACAATAATAAATATTTTCCATCATAGGTGATTTGTCTTTATGAGGCTATTTTAATGTAAAAGAATGAATATGTGACTGCTAACTATGTTGGTATGTTATTATAAAAGCACACATTAGTTTATGGAGAGTCTGGGCCATACTTATATGGCCGTGTGTGGCCATTGAAACATTATGTTTCTCAGAGAGAACACGGCGGAACCTGAGGTTTTCTATAAAATAATCCAATGATGTGACCAAATCAACTCCCCTCATTTTGACAGACTGCAAAAGCCTCCTAGGAATTTTCAGTGAAATGTTAACTTGAATCTTTATAGCTTTAGTCTACAATAACTGTTTTTAACTTCTGGAAAGTAGCAGTTGTGAAGGTATTTCTTGTTAGTTTAGCTTGGTCAATAGGGAGGTTTTTTTTCTTCTGAGGAGGAGTCTTATTTGTTGTTACTTTGCTACACTGTTGAGTTTTGGAGGTAAACAGAGATGTTTAGAGTCCTATAAGCCGCGTTTGGTGATTGTCAGCATCACTGTTTTACTTTAATAACTTTGAGACTACTGACTAAAAGCTAAGATGTGTGAGGGTAAGAGCTACTACCATAAATTCAATGTCTTGAAAAGACAAAGATATAAAACTAGAAGATGCTAACTGGTGACAATATGAAACAGGTGTTGTTGTGTCCCAAATAGTGAGACGTGGCTGTGTCAAGCTTCATCAGACTCTAACTGGAAACATTTAAATTATATCCTGAAAATTCCTCAGAAATCAAGGAGAGAAAAATAGTATCTTTGATCAGGATCGATATGTGATTTATCAAAGAAAACTAAAAGACCGTGGGGCAGCCCTAGGCACCATCAGTAACACTGCCACTTGGCAGAAAACAAGCCGGGCACACAGCTGGAGTCGGCTTGGTTTAATCTTTGAATAATCTTGGCTCCAAACTAAGGAAAGATCCCCAGTCATCCACACTTGTTTTAAAAGGAATGTGTGCATCATTGCCAGGCATGGTGGTAAGCATCAGTAACCCCAGCTCGCAGAGAGAGACAGGAGGATCACTGCAAGTTCTAGGCTAGCCTGGTCTACATAGCAAGTTTCAAGCAAGCAAATACTACAGGGTGATACCTTGTCTCAGAGAATGAAACTGTAACATTTAACAGCCGGGATAACGGGAGTGGTGGGTGGGTGGGGGATGAGTAGCAGGGGAGTATTCTGGGAAAAAAAGTATCAAAACACACTAAAGAAAAATGAGAAATAAAAACAGAACTACAAAAGAACCAGTTAAATACAGAAGAAAGTGGTTGAGGAGGAAATGGAGGGCAAAATACCAGAAGACATGGAACAAGTAAAACAAAATGGCAAAAGTAAGTCTCAGTAACTCAGTTAAATGTAAATGGGTAAACTTTCCGATCAAAAGGCATACACACACTGAGCTGGGAAAATGGCTCAGTGGGTAGAGCACTTGCCACACAAACACCAAGTCTGGGTGAAAGTCCCAGGACCCACATAAAGCCAGGCAGTGGTGTGTTCTGTCATCCCACTCCTGTGGCAAGACAGAGGTGCAGACCAGAGATTCTCAGGAAACTTAAGGGGCCGATCAGTCTGGTGTACACAATACCAGACAACACAAGAACACTCCCTTAAACAAAGGGGTGGGGGTTGAGGACTGACTCCTGAGGCTGTCCTCTGATTCCCATACAAACACCACGGTGAACATACATATGTGTGCTCACAAAAACACACATGCACACACATCATACATGCACAAAGGCATAAGCCGATGAATGGATTCAATTAAGATAAAAATTCAACTATCTGGTGTCTATAAGAGATTTTCCTCGGATCCAACAATATGCACGAAATGAGAGTAAAATGATAAAAAAGGTATTTCATGTAAAGGGTGACCGAGAGAAATCTGGGGTGATTATACCGTCATATAATATGCCCTTTAAATCAATTGTGACTTTAAGAGAGATACAGAGGAACATTATATATTTATTTCTGAAATGTCAATATGCTGAGAAGATGTGAGGCTTTTACGCAGACATGCAGCAAATGGCAGAGTCACCCTTTGAATGTGAGTCCTGAGGGCAGAAACGCAGTGGGGCTCATTCCCTTCTTAGATGCAGCCCCGAAACTTACTATACGTGTTTGCTCAATTCCCACCGTCCCCAGCAAGAGTTAAGTTCTGCGGATTGTTGCTGGTCATCAAGAAAGAACACAGATTCTTGGACAGGTAGATCTAGCTTCCCCAGCCAAGCATTCCAAGGTTTGTGAGTACACATCAGGGGAACCTGGAAGCTCAAAAGGCTTTTGCAATTGGAGCTGGTGCATCCTAGGAGGACACTGAAACCCAGACAGGTAGGGTACCAACTGAAGGTCACACAGCAAGCTAACCGTAAAGGGAGCATTCAGACAGACTCTCCATCACCCTGCCTGTCACATGCCGTTTCTTTAGGATGCTCCCCATACTCTGTGATTCCTCTGTCACACCTCTCCGTCCACTTCCCTTGTCACTGCCCACTTTCAATGGTGCTCGGTCCTCTGCCCTCTGCCACAGAAGGCCAATGACAGCCTTTTCTGTATTCATGTTATACAAAATGAAAATTTTACTCCCATGGTGGCCTTATAGAGTTAAAATAAAACTGTCAGGCCATCAAGATGACTAAGCAGGTAAAATAACTTGCCTACAAGCCTGCAAATCTGAATGGTAGTCTGGGGAACCACAGTGAAAAGAGGCAACTGACTCCTAAAATTTATCTTTTGACATGCACACGCACACCACGGCACACAAATGCCCCCC